AACACCAAAGCAAAGCCTCCCACGGAGCAACTTATTTTTTCCTGTAATGCACTTTCAATATCTTTACTTGCTTTTCTAGGAGTAGTGGTAGATTGTAAGGAAAATCCATTCATCAATATATCATACGACCCTTGATTTTCAAGGCGCCGGAGCACCATCCTTGTTGTTCGTTCACTCACCCCATATATCACACGACCGTCGCTCCCTGAGCAGCGCGTCGGAGCACCGCCCAAAACCCACCACCAACACCATCACTCAACGGCCTTGTAGTTCAGGCCGTGAACCTAACAGCCGAGACCAGTTCCTCTCTCGGCTACAATCGTTTGACTAGGAAGACAGATCAAACAGGCGCACCACTTATTCATCCAACACTCATCAACACATCGACGCACGATAGATCGTGCTGGCACGCCCGCGCACAACCGCACCGCACCCAAAAGCAGGAAACCGCGTGTTAACGCACATCCCCTCGGCCCGGAACTCCAGGCCGTGAGATTTGCGCGGCAGACAACTATTTAACTTACAAATTGATGAATAATAAAATATAGAACTCCTCACTTTTCTTTTTTTGTTGTTGTTAAACTCCCCATTTTTCTAGGTAACTTTAATATGCCAATAAAAATCATTCTCTCTCCTCAATAAAATTTGCAATAAACAATAATTAATCTCATTCTTCTCAGAAACAATCCAACTTAATTCAATCAAAAAACTAGAATAAAAAAGAAAACTCATATTTCCGTGATCAAAACTGTGTTGCGGATGCCCTAACTGCGAAGAGTTATAATTTTGGTCCTGGCCTCCATGTGTTTTTTTATGCTCCGGCTTTTCTTAGTGCCATATTAGCTGCTGATGTTTGAGGTGTTGATAGACCTCGTCTAGTTTGTGTTTAGTTTCTTTTTGGTTTGGAGCTTTAGCCCCCCTATATACCAAAAAAGAAAAAAGAAAACTCATAAACTTATAATCTAACAGGTTCAGATTAAAAAGATTCACATAGCATTTTAGTTTTGTAAAATGATGAAAGTACTAGCCCTCCATGTTATTGCTGCATATTATTGGGGTTGTGTAGCTGGATACAAGTCTATGAATGGGACAAATATAATCTCACATCAAGTAGGTGGGCTACTGCCAATTGCACTGAGGTCTTGACCAAAGTAGTGGGCCCTACAGGTCTGTTATACAAAACACGTCTTTGCAAGGGCCATGGATAGACCCAGCAGGCACGTTTGACTGATCGCCATTATATCCAAGGGGCTGAGAATGACTTGTGTGGCTCACCTTTTTCTTTCACAAAGTTTATGTTCAAAATAGCCCCTCTTTTTCTGATAAACATAACAAAGTACAAACCAGCAATCTATCCAAACCATTTGATCTCTCCTGCTTAATATTCACAGAAGAAAGAAAACCGACACCAACACCAATCATAATCATACTTGTTTGTTTGGTCACCCAATCTTTCATATTTCACATCAGATGTTTTATTTATTTAAGCAAAAACCATACATAAAGCATAATCCAAGGCATAAAACAGATGAACAAAAGAAGAACCCAACAAAGAAGTACAACCACTAACATGGCTTAGAGGCTATGGTCATACTACTAAGCACACCAAAGTCTCAGGCAAATTATTCTAATTCAAGAAAGCAACAGTCTTTTTCTCCAGGGCCACAGCATTGTCACAAGTTGGATCTTCCAAATGGAACACATGGCCCTCCCCCGTTGCTTCTATGAGCTCCACAACTCCTTTCCACCCACTCTTTCTCAGTATCTCACTGTAATACACTCCTCTATCTTTCAAGATATCTTTCTCAGCAACAAAAACCAGCACTTTCACACAACCCAATTCCCCCAACTTCGAATCCTTACCTGGATTGAAAAACGGGTCATCGGATCCACTAGTCGAAGGGTAAGTAAAACGCCACAAAGCAGAAATGAACTCTCTTCCAGCTGCAGGGGCAGTTGACTCTTCCCCCCCAACTGGCTCTGTGCCCCAAAAGTAAGGATGCACCAACACAATCCCAATCAGATTAACACCACCAGCCAATCCCTCACACCCCACTTTCAAAGCCATGTTGTGTGCTAAATTACCCCCTGCACTGTCCCCAGCGAAAAACACACGCTGGAAATCTGCAAAACTGTTTAGCCAATCTGAAGAGCCGTTTCCATCAGAATGGGAAGCAACCCATTTGAGAGCAGCCCATGAATCTTCGTAAGCAGCCGGCAGAGGGTGCTCTGGGGCAAGCCTATAGTCAACAGAGACTGCAACAACATTGGCCTCGGAGACTAAGGCGTTGAGGTAGTTGTGATATGTGGGAGAAGATGAACTTTCAATGCAGAAGGCGCCTCCATGGAAGTAAACGAGAAGAGGGAGTTTGGTTTGGGGTGAGCTTGTGGTGGTGGATTTTGGGATGTAAAGCCTTGCAGATATGGCTGGTTCTTGTGAGATCACAACGTCTTTTGATTGGACGCCAGTTTTGGGATCTGTTGATGGAGGAGCTATGTCTGTGCCTATAAGTCTTTCAACTCGACCATCTTTGTATACTTTAAGCATTGGAGAGAAATCGTAGGCTAATTCTTCATTGCTCATGATTTCGGTTGAAGAATGAAGAGAAGAGTATAAGAGCAAACAATAATGGAGGCCTCTCTCTCTCTCTTCTATGTATTTCTTATGCAGATAGCAGAGTGGAGAGTGGGAGCAAAATTTATGGTTGTGCGTTGAGGACTTGATGGGCTTTTATGCACCATTTAAATTAATTCTAAAAAATACAAATTGGTTGTTGTTGGACATTTTTGCCTTCCTTAATGCATCTAGTTTTGGCAAATAGAAGGACAGACAAGTCCTTTCAAATATTTGATTTTGACGTAGAATTACAAAATAATTCTACTTTATTTATGTCATATCAAGATTATATGGGATGGTTTGGAGCAATTGCTCTCTCAAAAAAGGTTCAGGGTTCGAGTCCTAACATCCTTGTAGTGTGTGTGAGTTTAGTATACTATCGCTCATCTCAATAGAAAAAGTCCTTTAAAAAAAATTACTAAACAAAGAAAACCAACACAAATCATATCCATACTTGGAAATGGGAAGAGATCAAAATTCACAAACCAACATTTTTAAAAAAATTAGTACAAATTAAGTTGAAGAAGAAGACCGTCTCTCTCCCTCTAAGTTGGAATGAGGCAATCATTTCGTAATTATTTCAAAGGGAACTTAAATGCTCCAATTCAGGGACGGACCTTTAGTTTGGCAAACCTGGGCTAGGGGGGCGGGGGGGGGCCACACAAAAAAAATCCTAGCTCACCCAATTTAAATAACCAACCTCATCTAGTTGGGGTGTGGGGGAACTCACACACAACACAACAAAAGAAAAAAAAAAGACAAAATAAAATAACTCACACACATCATGTAGGAAAGAAAAAAAAAAAAAAAAAAGAAGCACCACCCTACCCTCGCATGTAGAGAAAGAAAAACCCTCTTGCAAGAGCAGCTTTTTAATCATATCCTTGGGGAAACAGAGCAACACCTTATCCTTACCCATGAGGTTCCAACATTTGATCCTTAATTGACCTAGGAGTTGTTCCCGGGCATCCTAAAAAAAAAAGGTTATTATACATCCCAATCCAATCCCTTGGAAAGAAAAAGGTAGCACCGAAAAAAGGAAAGAGCGAACTGCTCTTTTCGCTTTTCCAATAATCACACAGCGGAACTCTTCTTTCATGAATATCATACCACGTTTTCTTGGGTGGACGCTTAAACTATGTGCATAAGGAGGGCAACTGGGAATCTTACAACAGAAACTCATTTGGTTTAGGTGGCAATTGATGATGTGGCTGCCGGTGAGGTGAGGAGGGGAGGTTGGTTTGGTTGTCATGGGAACGGGTGGGGTGGGTAGTCTGGAGGTTGTTTGCTAGGCTCTTTTATTTATTTATTCTAATTTTCTGTTTTTATTTTTACTTTTATTTTCTTGACTTAAAAGTGTTAACTTAGAGTTAAGTTCTTAAAAATCGTTTTACAATGGGGTAAATTTGCCTTTAAAATTTTGAAGATAAGGTGGGTGGGAAAATAAGACAAGGAGATGGGAATAGCAGCATTGCCCTCCATTAGGAAGGGATTGGTCATTTTAGTTTTTTGAGTATCAAAACCAAATTCGATAATTTAACAGTTCACGTATATATATATTTTAAATCTAAATAAACTTCCTCAGCAGCACACCAAAACAAATTCATGGCTGATGTTGTGAAAGGAAAAAAAAACCAAAATCAAAGAAACGAATGCTGAAAAATACTATATTTCATTGGTGTCCGATGGTAGTAAAATTCATGAGTTCATGCGTATAATACTTACCATAAGTTTTTCTTTTTTCTTTAAAACTCCCATGTGAATTTTGATCTCTTCCCATTTCCAGAAAAAAGATAACCCAATGTTAAACACTATGTATTGACATGTGACAGTTTGGCATCTTATTATGCAGAACTTGCACAATTTCACTTTACATCCAGTAGTAGGTATGAAATCTTTGAAACAAATCTACCCTAAATTAGGCATAAATGCATTTCTTGATTTTGCAGGACAAAAAATATAGTTCCATATTTAACATCGGAATGTTTTATTTATTCAAGAAACATATATAAAATAAAACATACAACAATGGAAAACCACAAATCTCTAACTACACCCAAGTTTCAGGCAAATTATTCTAATTCAAGAAAGCAACAATCTTTTTCTCCATGGCCACAGCATTGTCACAAGTGGGATTGATACAATGGAACACATGCCCCTCCCCCTCTGCTTCTATGACCTCCACATCCCCATTCCACCCACTCCTTTTCAGTGTCTCACTGTAATGCCATCCTCTATCTTTCAACACATCTTTCTCAGCAACAAAAACCAGCACTTTCACACAACCCAATTGCTTCAATTTTGGATCCTTACCCGGGTTTAAAAGCGGGTCGTCGGATCCACTAGTCGAAGTGCAAGCAAAACTCCAAATTCCAGCCATATACTCTCTTGCAGCTGCAGGAGTAGTTAACTCTGCCCCAACTGGCTCTGTGCCCCAAAAGTATGGATGCACCAAAACAATCCCAATCAACTTAACACCAACCAATCCCTCACACCCCAATTTCACAGCCATGTTGTGTGTTATATTAGCCCCAGCGCTGTCCCCAGCGAAAAACACACGATGGAAATCTGCAAATCTATTTAGCCAATCTTCAGAGCCGTTTCCATCAGAATGGGAAGCAACCCATTTGAGAGCAGCCCATGAATCATCATAAGCAGCTGGCAGAGGGTGCTCTGGGGCAAGCCTATAGTCAACAGAGACAGCCACAACATTGGCCTCAGAGACTAAGGCATTGAGGTAGCTGTGATATGTGGGAGAAGATGAACTTCCAATGCAGAAGCCGCCTCCATGAAAGTAAATGAGAAGAGGGAGTTTGGTTTGGGGTGCGCTTGTGGTGGTGGTGGCGGTGGTGGATTTTGGGATGTAAAGCCTTGCAGATACGGCTGGTTCTTGTGAGATCACAAAGTCTTTTGATTGGACGCCAGTTTTGGGATCTGTTGATGGAGGAACTACGTCTGTGCCTTTGAGTCTTTCAACTCGTCCATCTTTGTATACTTTAATTATTGGGGAGAAATCATAGGCTAATTCTTCGTTGCTCATGACTTGGGTTGAAGAAGGAATAGAAGAGAATAAGAACAAACAACTATGGAGGCCTCTTTCTCTTCTCTGTCTTTCTTATGCCGATAGCAGAGTGCAGAGTAGGAGCAACATTGATTGTTAGGTCGTTGACTTGGTTGTTATTGGACATTTTTGCCTTCCTTCGGGTCAGGTTCGGTAGTTATAAGGTTGGATCCACTGGTAACTGATTTGGTCAAGAAGTCACTCATTTCATTTGTAGCATTGGCTAAGGGAGTAGGTTTGATTGTTAGAAGGGGCAGGTTGGGAGTTCGACGGGTCTGGAATAACACCATTTTGATATCCCGTCCAATTATGGCATGTCATACATGATAAAGTTTCTACATAACAAAGCAGTATTATACAAGTTTTTCTACAGGTCCAGGGTCCATGAAGAAGGGGGTGGGGACACAACACATATGTGGGTATTAATGCCATGTGTGCGAGTCTGACAGTGATTGGAGTGTGGTCAAGGGGTAATAGGTTGGTCCCCTTACTTAGGGTCGCAAGACACTTATCATAATTTCAATTTTAACTAAGTTCAGTTATAATGTAACTTTGAAGAAACAGATACTTATGTGGAACTTTGAAATGGAATTTTTCTTGTGGTTAAATTGTGAAAGTGCATGTTGTGAAGAGTATGCAACATTTTCGATGAATTTTTTGTCAATTTTGGGTTTCGAGGTCTCAAGGCTAATTCGAGGGTCTTAAGATTGAGTTTATGACCAAACATCATAGTCAAGCAACCGGGTCCAAGTCAGAAGGTTCCATATATCGGTTAGGACTAGAGTTCGATGTATGTGTGATGATTTAGAATTGGTTTTTTTGTTGTTGTCAAATGACGATTTAGAACTTGTGGATGCGAAAGGAGGGTAAAAAAATGAAACCAAAACTAGAAAATGAGGGCCCATTTGGTATTCTACTTGGATCCAATTTTATAAACTAAAAAACAAATTTGCCCCAAAAACTTGTTTGGTAAGCCCATTTTTAAAAACCAAACCCAAAAAAAATTCAAAGACACCCATATTATTAAGAGCAAAAAAAATGAGGTTTTATACTCTCTCTCTCTCTCTCTCTCTCTCTCGGGTTAGTCTTTGCAAACCAATAACCACCAAAACCACCGAAGTGTTGGAGTCATTACGCAACACAAATCATGCCTCACCTCTCACCTATTTTTCCTTTTCTTTTGTTAATTTCAATTTAGGGATTAGGGTTTCTGATTTTTTTAATTTCAATTTTTTGTAGATCTTAAAAATAGTTTGTAGTTCAATACTAAACAAGTTTTTAGATCTTAAAATCATTATTTGAAAACTCATGCTTTTAAAAAGAATCATAGTTTTTTAATTTCCTTTTTAGTAGGATGCCAATCAGGGCTTGACCTTTTTAGGATGTTTTCAAAATCCACCAATACTCACGTAATAGTGTATTGCCAAGTAATGTAATTGGATTAGTCCAAGTCTTTGGTGTGCTCACAAGTGATTCAGTTCAAGCCCCATAATACACTAATAATTAATATTTATTAAAAATTTGGAATCTAAAATTACCTTAAAATTAAAAAAATTACTTGGATTTTTGTAAAAAAAAAAAAGATTAAATACTCGTGATCGACTTAGAAGCTTTTCTAATTTATCCAATATTTGTCCCTTTTGTCAACAACATCCTGAAACATATAATCATTTATTTGCTAATTGTTCCTATACTTCACAACTTTTGGAATCAACTTTCTCCTTTAGGCCTTAAAGCAACTACTAATAATCATGACAGTATTGGTTGGCTTTGCTGAAATTGGTCTAATTTTTCTTCTCTTCTATTAGATGTAAGTTCCTGTGTAGTTTTTATTAAAAAAAACAAACAAACAAAACAAAACAAAACTCACCCATATTCACTTTTTTGGTCTTCAAAACAAAACTCACCCATATTTTTCAAAATGAAGACATAACAAAGTAACAACCCAAGCAATCTATGGAAAGCCAGTTGATCTCTCATACTTAATATTTTACAGAAGAAAGAAAACCAACACAAAACATATTCATACTTGTTTGATCATCCAATGCTAAACAATCTGTATTGACATTTGAAGTAATGGTACTTGCACAATTTCACTTTAAATCCAGTAAAAGGTATAGTCTTTGAAACAGAATCTTTTATTTCAACCAAGAAACATACAAGGGATGAAATCATGAAACAGATGAAGAAAAGAAACCAAAACCACAAACCTAGCTCATAGGGTATATGGTCATATTACTAAGTACCCCCAAGTTTCAGAAAAAAAATTATTCTAGTTCAAGAAAGAAACAATCTTTTTCTGCAAGGCCACAGCGTTGTCACAAATTGGATCGAACAAATGGAACACATGGGCCTCCCCCTTTGCTTCTACGACCTCCATGGCACCATTCCACCCACTCTTTTTCAGTATCTCACTATAATGCCATCCTCTATCTTTCAACCCATCTTTCTCAGCAACACAAACCAGCACTTTCTCACAACCCAATTTCCCCAATTTCGGATCCTTACCTGGGTTTATAAGCGGGTCGTCGGATCCACTAGTCGAAGGGCAAGCAAAACGCCACACAGCAGCCATATACTCTCTTGTAGCTGCAGGAATAGTTAACTCTTCCCCAACTGGCTCTGTGCCCCAAAAGTACGGATGCACCAAAACAATCCCAATCAACTTAACACCAACCAATTCCTCACACCCCAATTTCACAGCCATGTTGTGCGTTATATTAGCCCCAGCACTGTTCTCAGCGAAAAACACTCGTTGGAAATCTGCAAATCTATTTAGCCAATCTTCAGAGCCGTTTCCATCGGAATGGGAGGCAACCCATTTGAGAGCAGCCCATGAATCATCGTAAGCAGCCGGCAGAGGGTGCTCTGGGACAAGCCTATAGTCAACAGAGACGGCAACAACATTGGCCTCAGAGACTAAGGCGTTGAGGTAGTTGTGATGTGTGCGAGAAGATGAACTTCGAACGCAGAAGCCGCCTCCATGAAAGTAAATGAGAAGAGCGAGTTTGGTTTGGGGTGCGCTTGTGGTGGATTTTGGGATGTAAAGCCTTGCAGATACGGCTAGTTCTTGTGAGATCACAACGTCTTTTGATTGAACGCCAGTTTTGGGATCTGTTGATGGAGGAACTCTGTCTGTGTCTTTGAGTCTTTCAACTCGACCATCTTTGTATACTTTAATCATCGGAGAGAAATCATAGGCTAATTCTTCGTTGCTCATGATTTGAGTTGAACAAGGAAGAGAAGAGAGTAAGAACAAGCAACTATGGAGGCCTCTTATTTCTTCTCTGTTTTTCTTATGCAGATTGCAGAGTTCAGAGCAGGAGCAAAATTTACGGTTATGTTGGGGACTTGAAGGGCTTTAATGCACCACTTAAATTTGTTCTAACAAAACAAATTGTGTTGTAAAGAATGGGGTGGAAGGAAGGAAGAAAGAAGGAAGGAAGAACAGTGAAGACTTGTTGTCTGAAGAAGGAAGGAAGAAAGAACAGTGAAGGAGAGAAAAGAGAGATCAGTTAGCCACAAAGATTGTAAACACTAAAGTTGTAGTCCTATTATTTTACATAGTGAAAAAGTTACTACTGCTGCTCTCAGAGGAGGACGTAGGCATGACTGAACCTCGTTAAATATTATGTCTCATTTACTTTACAACAGCTCAAAAAATTGGTTGTTGTTGGACATTTTTGTCAAAAAGGACAGACAAGACAAGTCATTTCAGATATATTGATTTTAATTTGAAGTAAGTTATTAAACAAAATACTACCACGTGGTCATACTACTGTAGTATTATATAATTTCTCTTATCGTAGGAGCTACCTTTAATAAATATATATGAATAAAACTCATCTAAGTTAATATCCCCATCTCTTACTTTAAAAAAAAATAATAAATAAATAAGTTAAGATCCCCATCAATTGAAAATTCTTCTTGATTAAAACAGTTATGCCTAGAGGAAGAAGAGTTCCAAAGATTGCATCGACAAAAAAGAGAAAAAAAGAGAAACCTATGAGACCTAGAGGGATTCTTATTAGTTTTGAGCAAAACTTGTTCAAAGAAAATTGAGCAGAGATTTGATTCAAATCGTAAAACAAAAACAAAATATAAAATTGAAGTACTTATTCACATGCATGGTTATATAGGTTTAATACAATGTGTAGTTTTCTTTTTTACTGGTATTATATTTGTTCCATAATGTTAAACACTCTGTATTTGTTCCATAAGGTCTGCGTTTAATATTCTAATTATATGGTCTATGGATCTCTAATTTAGTTTTTATCTTATAAGAAATATCCTACTTGAAATGTGTATATATGTGGTTGTGAAATAATTTCGAATAGAAACTTTAGACATAATGACTTGAGGTTCCATGGGACGGCTGAGAGAGAGTTCTGGTTCTCGTGTTGCTGAGCAGGATGTGTCGAAGCAAACGGGATCGTATTGCACTGAGCAGGGGGCTGTGGAGGTCATGGAGGGCAAAGGATCCATTTGAACAAACCCATTTCCGAACACAGATATGATCATGCTATTGCTGCATATTATTGGAGTTGTGTAGCTGGATACAAGTCATGAATGGACAAATATAATCTCACATCAAGTACGTGGGCTACTGCCAATTGCACTGAGGTCTTGACCAAATTAGTGGGCCCTACAGGTCTGTTATACAAAACACGTTTTTGCAAGGGCCATGGATATACCCAGCAGGCACGTTTGACTGATCGCCAGTATATCCAAGGGGCTGAGAATGACTTGTGTGGCTCACCTTTTTCTTTCATAAAGTTTATGTTCAAAATAGCCCCTCTTTTTCTGATAAACATAACAAAGTACAACCAGCAATCTATCCAAACCATTTGATCTCTCATGCTTAATATTTACAGAAGAAAGAAAACCAACACCAACACCAATCATATTTCACATCAGATGTTTTATTTATTTAAGCAAAAACCATACATAAAGCATAATCCAAGGCATAAAACAGATGAAGAAAAGAAGAACCCAACAAAGAAGTACAACCTTCGACCAAAAAAAAAAAAAACAAAGAAGTACAACCACAAACCTGGCTTAGAGGCTATGGTCATATTACTAAGCACACCAAAGTCTCAGGCAAATTATTCTAATTCAAGAAAGCAAGAATCTTTTTCTCCAGGGCCACAGCATTGTCACAAGTTGGATCTTCCAAATGGAACACATGGCCCTCCCCCGTTGCTTCTATGAGCTCCACAACACCTTTCCACCCACTCTTTCTCAGTATCTCACTGTAATACACTCCTCTATCTTTCAAGATATCTTTCTCAGCAACAAAAACCAGCACTTTCACACAACCCAATTCCCCCAACTTCGAATCCTTACCCGGGTTGAAAAAGGGGTCATCGGATCCCCTAGTTGAAGGGTAAGTAAAACGCCACAAAGCAGAAATGAACTCTCTTCCAGCTGCAGGGGCAGTTGACTCTTCCCCAACTGGCTCTGTGCCCCAAAAGTAAGGATGCACCAACACTATCCCAATCAGATTAACACCAGCCAATCCCTCACACCCCACTTTCAAAGCCATGTTGTGTGCTAAATTACCCCCTGCACTGTCCCCAGCGAAAAACA